AGAATAGTAAGATGAAAGCTTATATGGCGTCTTGGTTCATATTTCATGCTTTTCTGTAGAAGTATAATGTAACAGAATTTTTTCTAGAGTTTGGTGAAATATGAGTCTGTTTCTTTTTGAATTTATCAGTAAATATGTAACCTCATCGCTAAAACGGAAAAGGTTTGCGTAGCCCATTGGAATAATTTTACTTCCGATTTTAAATGCAACAATTTCGTCCAGACAATTTTCATTTAATGGTCAATCACCAATAGTAGGAGATTTTCAGAAATGTTTCTCGTTTAAAGGACTTTTTAGGATTTCTTTCGCTGATCATTTTGGTGGAAAAAAGATTCGAATTTTCTCAATAAATAACACTATTAGAGTCAAAATACTCAAAAGTTATGACATTATTTGACTTCTGCTAAAGAGTAGGTGATATTTTTCCCTCGACTAGAAGTGAAATAATAATGACCTCTATAAATTTAAATACGGGAAAACAAATTCACTTTAAACGAAGATTAATAGAAATTGATAATGATCGATTATTTCATTCAAACGATAGTCAAATTAGATTTCTTCAATTAGAGAAATTATATATTGGGATTTTATCTTGTTGTATAAATAAATGTATTCTATATAGTTTGAAATATTAACAAACGGTTAATTATTGATCGAATTCGAACTATTAATCTCAACTGTACTTTTAATTCTTTAATAAAATTATTACATAATCAAACTCAATTCTTAAGATAAAAACAGAATAAACTAATTTGGATATCTTCTATAATTATTTAGATTGATTAAAAAAACTTTTTTGAACTTCATTACATCGAAATAATATCTTCGTTTTTTTATAGATTATTATTGTAACTAAGGTTATGCAGATAATTACTCAAAATCTGAAATTTTAAATTTAGACAAATAGAGTAGATCTCAAAAGTCGGGCTCTATCCTCTTGTTTTCAGTAAATTATTAAAACTACATTACACTAATTGTATTGTTTTAGATGCTCGCGTAGGACAAATCGATTTTGTGTAATACATCATCGTTCACAATTCTCATTCTTGTTAGCTAGATCATTTTGGTCTATTGAGATAATTTAAAAGAAGAGAACTCTACACAATGATCTGATAGTGAACGAATGGGATTTCAAATAATAGATCAAAATAAATCTTCATTAAGACAAGTTAATCGTGATGTAAACATACACGTCATCTTTCATGATAGAAATCTAATCTACTAATCTGTCGTTGTTAGCTTGATTATGATGAAATGAAGATATAATTATTTTATATACAATTGATTGATTAGGTGATGATCAAAATACAAAAGTAATTTTTTGTATCTACTAAATAATGTATAGTTGCAAAAATCGCTTTAAAAAAAAATAAACTCAATAGTTCATTTTCATTTGATGTGTTTACATAAAGGTGTAGACTAATATTGTTTAAAATCATGCTGATGTTGATATATCATTTAAGAGATTTCAATCAAATAAAAGATTTATTTCGGTACTTATCTAGAAAAATAAAAACAAAATTTTACCTGTGATGTTCGTTTTGTGTCAAGATGGTTTAGTAAGTATACGTGGTACAGCATGTTTAATATCAAATCGATGCCTATGATGTACAGATCCTGATATTATTAATAATCCAGTAACTTTCTGTGTTTATCAATATATGATCTATTTCAATATTTTGGTTGGGTGTGGGTGTGGGTGTAAGTATTAGTCTTTTTTTCACATCCCACACCCACAGAATCCAGAACACACATACAATAAAACTGTGACTACGACAATATTCACTAGCCAAACAACCAACACATACCTCCATCTAAAATCAAATAGCAGAAGTTAATTTAAAAAAGTCATCCAAACATTCAGTAGCTTCACCCTAAAAAAACTGCTCAATAAATGAATAGCCACCCAGGAATTGGGTAGCTACAAAACAAGACTAAATAGCTGAAGGAAAAATTAAGTAGTCATAGAAATAAAATAAATAGCTACGGACTAGCATGACAGATCTCTTATATGATTAAATGGCTATACAAAAATTAGATAGCTATAGAAGAAAATGTAATAGTTAAATAATATTAAAATAGTCATTGAAAAATTAAATAGCTATACGCTAAGGAGAAAAGTCGATTGTAGGATTGAATAGCTATGGTGTGATTAAGTAGCTTTACGAAAACAGTAAATTGCTGGAAAGAAGTGCTGAGAGAAGGATATATCAGAAAAAGTATCTCTTTTGAGAATGAGCCATCTATGAAGATTGTACAAGTCAAACTATATTGATAGTCTTCAATATTTTAATGAGAAAGTTTTGAATAAGAATTTTCATTTGACTTTACCATCTGTTTATTTGAATCTCACATATTAAAATTACAAGCAGAGACGTAGCCACAAAAATCAAGAACTCAATTGATTTATCTTTTTTAAAAATTATTCTTGAAGGAAATTCTTCAATGCTGGAATGAAAAGTATTGATTCTATAACATTAATCTAGAAGCTTTCTACTCTATTTAACTTTCTATCTATGAAGCAAGTAGCAACTCGTAGGTTCAAACAAGCTGGGTGTGGGTATATTAGGAATTATATGCATATACACCCATGCCAACACTCATACCCCACGCTCAAATCTTTCTCCTCTTTGTCGTTGTACCTTGTCAAATTTTGTATTAAATTTATTATTGAGTAGAGATATGATGTGAAAGTTATATTTCACTTTGATGCACAGATCACACTGTAATAAAACTCCAATGCCTTATCTTTACTCAGCAATAAACTTGATGCTGAGTATGCCAAAATAAAAAGAGAAAATGAAAAAGACTTTTGTTTGAAGTTGTAAAATGATTCGTTTCATATTTTATAATTTTACCTTGAGTAAAAACACACGGAATTGCACGATCTTTCTAAGTTTCATCCGAGACAAATAATGTTTACGAACGTAAGTAACTTTCATATTAAGAAATAACAAAGATTGCAATTCACACTATGAACATCGAGAAATTAAGGTTTTAAATAGAATTTCAAAAGAGCATTTCCTTATTCGTTTTGATCTCTGAATCAAACTGTGAACCTTGTCTTAAAAGTCTTCAGATTTTGCATTTACATAATTTACATGTTCAGATGAATATCAAATGAAAAATATAAATTGAGGTACTAGGTTACATCCGTATTATTATTTGTCTAGAACAATTCAAAAGTTGGAAAGAATTTATGGGTGATAATCTGGTTCAGGCTCATGAAGATTAATTAGTCCATGACATATTTCTATAGGACATAGTTAAATAAATGTGCCGACTATGTGAAAAAAATTTGATAGTTCATTTTTGCCAAAAAAACATTACAATGAGACATATTAGATAAGTATAGATAATGAGTACGAAGTGTCAGTTATATGTATATCAAATATAAGTTGATAGTTGCAAATATTCAAAGAATTCCTCCTGACCACATTTCTGCCCACGATGAGAGTGAGAGTGAATTAGAGGGTTTGTTGCACGCACTCTCACCCTTACCATCAAGATATCGATTTTAGTTTCCAGTGCGACAAGTGTTACCAGTAGTAAATGTCCCGGAATATAGCAATGTCTTTCATTATTGTCAGAAGAGAGATGTTTGAAAATTTTCTTCAAAATTTAGTTACTTATTGTGCACATGCATCGAAATTTTTATGTCTATAAGTCGAATTGTTTGATAAGTATGATATATAGGAAATATTGCACGAGCAGCACTATTTAGGTTGTGTATTTTGAGATTATTCGCAGGAATTCGATAGAAAATTGAGATTTCAATATGATAATTTCTTGCTTCAGAAATCTGCATCGTGTCAATCCATGAGTATCTCAAATACTTTGAAAGAAGCTATAATAGAAGATGTCATAAACGAATATATCAAGCATTGTTGGCTCATAAATGTCTTATCATCTGTATTTCTATCTCACTTGAATGTATATGCGTATATAGAAGATTTCTAGGAGAAAAAACGACTTAATTCAATCATGTTTTGCTAAATACTTGTTAAAACAGAGTCAAACGGATATTTTAATTTACTTTAAAGGCAAATATGTCAAGAGAAAGCCAAATAACAAAACTTTCGTAGTAATGATGATGTGTGCTTGGCACATATATACAAAGATCACAATCTCATTGTGATTGTGTACATCTTGGACAACATTGGTTGATTTCAGCAATCTCTTTGGTTCGTAAAACTTCTATAACGGGCATAGTTGTAATAAAACAAGATAATATTCACAGCTCCCTGGATTTTTCTTGCTCTATATCTCAAAGAAGCAGTCGCGCTAAACGCGCTACTGACAAATAGTCAAATTACACATGATCTGAAAAAACTTTATTCCAATAAGAGCTATAATATCTTATTTATTATTCAACATGGATGAGAAGAACAAATGTGCTACATGTAGAATTCCTTTCCTGTTCAGTCCGACGTTCCCAGTATCTCACGAGCAAAAGCACTGTGGATAATTACACGTTAATCAAATGTACTTATGTAAAATAGGAGAATTTTTACAAGAATAGGCTCCTCTTCCATCATCCACGCTCCGTGATCCCTTTTTCCATATACTGAACTTCCATTTGAGTCTCTTAGTAAGAAAAATATTTTCAAATATTATACATCTATCAAAATGTAGATACGGAATATCAATATTGCCAAATCAAATGGAAAAACTGTTCCGACAAGTACCTATAACGTACCAAAGAAACTCTTTTGGCCTATGGTACTCGTGTTTACTGCTATTTTAATTGTTCTACTTGTATTGACCATCTATTTTGGTGTTAATCAAAAAAGTCGAAATGGTGCCGAAAATGGATCAACGACAATATCAGCCACAACTGTTAGTCTGCCTGTGACAACCACCATTTCTCCTTTGCCACCTGTCAAACGTATTCCTGATGATCTGCAACAGCTATTCTATCAATTGACCATTACGCCCAATCTTACCAATGAAACATTCACTGGTGAGAAGGGAATCTTTTCATGTGATTCGTAGGTGAACTAGAAACTTGATGTAGTGAAACCATTTTTTAAATAGGATGTAGTTGAGAAATGAAAGATTTGTGACAATTCAACACTTACAAAAGAAATAATGCTTGTGATACGACGTTCATCGTAAAACAGTGCATAAAATGTTTTTTCAAGGAGATGATGATAATGATGATTGTTTGATAATCTTATGCTAAAAGACTCTTTTTTCTAATAAAGATTTCATTGATTTGGCTTTTCATAATGTTCTATTAGACTTTTCCTCTATAAAGATAGCCTTAAAATCCATTTCGAAAATTTGATGTCAACTAAAGTAGGATATTCTCCTTCTCATCACAGGAAATCTTCTCTACACCTTCATCTGCAGAAATGCCACCAATCAAATGATTCTACACATGACTGACTTGTCCATTGACAATTCAACTATCACAATTATCAATTCATCATCCAGTTCGATGCCCATGTTTCTTTCATGGTCTTATGATGATTATAACGAGTTTATGATACTCAATTTTTCGTCTGCCTTCATGCCAGAAACCACCTACACAATTCGCATAAACTATCATGGTGACATTACTCGTGATTTGCACGGTCTCTACATAAGTGACTATGTCGATAGTAACGGGCAAGATCGCACCTTTATGACGTCTCAGCTGGAGCCGACCTATGCTCGAAGTGTTCTTCCATGTGTTGATGAACCTGCTCGTAAGGCTATTTTTAGAATCAGTATCGAACACGATTCTTCGTATGCTGTATGGTCCAATGAAGCGATTTACCGAACTGAAGCACTCAGTGACGGACGAGCACTTTCACATTTTGCTCCGACATTGAAAATGTCCACATTTCTACAAGCACTCATTATGGCACCCATATCTGATTTTGCATGTCGACCAGATCGTTTTATCGGTACAAACAATATCATATCAAGAGTATGCGGACGCGCCAATATTCTACCACAATTGGCCTATGCCGATGAAGTAGCCTACAAAGCGTTATCATTTTTCAATATTTACTTTGATATTGATTATCCATTGTCAAAAATTGAGCATTTTGCTGTTCCTGATTTTGGTGCAGGTGCTATGGAAAACTATGGTAAGTAGAATCTTCCCTTGATCAAAACAAACCATGAAATAAAGTCGAATTCCTCTTTGCCTAGGCTTGTTGATCTATCGTGAAGTAGGCTTGTTTTTCGATGAGAAGACAGTATCAGCTTCACGGAAACAATACATTACAATGGTGGTATGCCATGAAGTAGCTCATCAATGGTTCGGCAATTTGGTTTCACCAGCTTGGTGGGGTGAACTGTGAGCCTCACGATGTTTTTTTTTTCTTACAATATTTTTCATCTAATTCTCGATAATTTATAGATGGCTGAAAGAAGGTTTTGCCAGTTACATGGAAACACTGGCAGCTGATTTTATCGAACCCTCGTGGATACAAGAAGAACAATTTATTGTTGATAAGATCTTTGCATTTATGGAGCCCGATTCGTTGCCAACATCACGACCGATGAGTATTGATTCGACAAATCCAGCAGATATTTTTCAAATGTTCGATTCGATCACTTATGACAAGGGAGCAACGCTCATTCGTATGATGTCGATGTTTTTAGGTGCTGAAACATTTCAACGTGGTGTTCAAACATATTTAAAAGCATTTAGTTTTAGTTCGGCTACGCAGCAAGATTTGTGGACTTACTTGAGTCAAGCAACAAACAATACGATAGACGTCGAACGGATTATGGATGGATGGACAAGGCAAGCGGGCTATCCAATTGTTGAAGTCAATCGAGTTTACAATACAGTGAACCAACAGAGAGTCGGCGGTCGTATGGTGATTAGTCAACAGCCCTTCAGCCTTTTTTCAGCGACGACAAAACAAGACAAATGGTGGATTCCATTCAAATACTTTGATCGAACATTTTCCCAGGTAAATAGAGACGGTTGATATACCAGACTAGAATAAAAGGAATTCAGCTTATCGTTTTTTATCAGTCACGAAACATTGCATGTCTTGAGATATAATATCTCGTTTTCTATTCTCTTCTATTCGCAGCCATTGACTGGAAGTGAACTTGTATGGCTCAATGATACATCAACAACATTGAATATCACTACTGCAGACTCAGACTGGGTCTTGGTCAATCCGGGTTATCTCGGCATCTATCGAACAAAGTATGATCGGCAAAATTTTCGCCTAATTATTATTCAACTTCAAACTGATTACACACGCATCCCGACTATTACTCGAGGTGCTCTGATCGATGATACCTTTGCTCTGTCACGCACAGGTCTTATCAATGCAAAGGACGCCTACGAACTGATTCGATATTTGAAGAGCGAAACTGACTTTGTTCCGTGGATGGCGGCACTTTCAGCGATGAATCAACAAGAAGAGTTACTTGCCGATCGCGATATTTTGATTGATGTACAACGTTACTTTCTTGAACTTGTTCTTCCTATTTACAATGCGATCGGATGGGTACCAAACGACAAATCGACTGAATGGCTTGGGACTCTGTTGCAACCGAGTATTGTGTCGGCTGCTTGTCACTATGGTGATCCAGAATGCATTGAAGTAGCACGCAATGCCTATCGTCGTTGGAATTTGAATCCTACTCTTAATCAAATTCCGGCTAATCTACGTTCGATCGTCTATTGTACAGTTGTTCGTGAAGGGTCACGATCGGAATTTAACTTTTTATGGGCTTGTCTTCAAACAGAATCAATTGCCAGTGAAACATTGAATCTACTCGCAGGTCTCGCCTGCACACGAGATCCATCGCTGATTATTTGGTTTCTCGATCAACATTTAACAAATGAATCTATCATTCGTGATCAAGATGCATTATCGTCAATTGAAGATGTTGCTCGTTCACCGGCAGCAAATCAAATTGCCTGGAATTGGATTCGTGACAATTGGCAAACCCTTTTCGAAAAATGGGGAAAATCAGATAATACTTTAGGTGGAATTATCGAAGCTGTATCGAGTCGATTTGTTACCGTTCGACAACGAGATGAATTTAAAACATTTGCTGATTTGATTATTGATAAAGGTAAGCCATTCGAATTTATTCTATTAACACATATATTACTATTCATTCAGGTACCGCGTCTCGTCAGTTTCAATTGTCCATTGACAGAATCAACGCAAACATAGAATGGAATAGAGCAAATCTCGGTTCAATCATCGCATTCTTTCGTTCAAACAATGAATCATCCATTCTTAGCAATCGTTTGCCTTCAGATGTCGTTCCAATACACTACGACCTCTATGTAAAACCATACTTGAATATTACAAATGAAAATCTTCGCTATTCCGTATTTGATGGGCGAGTTCGTATTCATCTCAATGTAACTCGCACTACTGATCGCATCGTTTTACATAAACGCTTTATTATGGTACAAGAACCTATTGAGATAACCAATAATGTATCAGTAATATTAACAACATTCAATCAAGATCTGGACTTTTTCATTATCATACTCAATCGATCACTCCAAGTAAACGAGCAACCAATCTTAACATTGAATTATGCGGGCGAACTAAAAAATGATACAAATGGTTTCTATCTTAGTTCTTATGTACGATCGTCGGATAAAATTCGACGATATTTAGTTGCTTCACAAATGGAGCCGATTGCAGCACGACGAGCTTTGCCATGTTTTGACGAACCTATTTTCAAAGCAACATTCACAGTAACAGTCGAACATGAACAGCAGTATCGAGCATGGAGCAATATGCCTGTTGAAAGTAGCACGACCCGACCAAATGGTTGGCTGTTGACACAATTTCAAAGAACCGTACCAATGAGTTCGTATTTACTGGCATTAGTCGTCGCTGATTTCGATTGTTTGACACGAAATAACACGGGACGTTTCCAAAATATTACAACAAGTGTATGTGCTCAATCAGAGAAAAAAGATGATTTACACTATGCACTTGAAATAGCAACGCAGAATATTCGTGATTTTGAAGAACAATATCAAATTAATTATCCACTACCGAAATGTGATCACATTGCTGTGCCTGATTTTGATGCCGGTAAAACATAGAGAGAAATTTACCATCCATCATTCTATTTTTTCAGGTGCTATGGAAAACTTCGGATGTATCCTTTATCGTGAAACACGACTTTTCTATAACAATCGTACATCGTCGTCGTCCAACAAGCAAAGTGTGGCATTGGTCATTGCTCATGAAGTGACACAGAGACAAATGCATTTTCATGATCTTGCTCTTTCTTTTATTTTTTTTCATCTAGCTCGCTCATCAATGGTTTGGTAATCTTGTTTCACCTGCTTGGTGGGATGATTTGTGGCTTAATGAAGGTTTTGCAAAATGGATGGAATTCGTCGCCACAAATAAAGTTAATCCAACATGGGATTTATATCAACAATTTATTGTTCAACGCTGGCTTGCCGTCATGCAAGATGATGCTGTGTCCTTTTCACATCCAGTGAACATGCAACTTACACGCAACGATCAACTGACAAGTATTTTCGATGCCATTACCTATTCGAAAGGTTCTTCATTACTTCGAATGATGAGCAATTTTATGTCTAATGAGATTTTCAACAAAGGTGTTACACGGTACCTCAAACGTCATTTGTATTCAACTGCAACACAGATCGATCTCTGGAGAGCATTGGGTGAACAAATGTTCGTTGATAATATACAATTACCAAGTAACACAAGTCTCGACACGATCATGAGTACGTGGACAAATCAAATGGGTCATCCGTATGTTCAAATCATACGTGACTATACAACTGGAAGTGTGACAGTGATTCAACACCAGTTCTTGTTCAATTCAGAGGTACAACCACCCCAATCGCCACACAAATATCTATGGTATATTCCACTTCAATTCAAGTCCTCGTCAATATTGTCATCAAGCATCGTATGGTTCAATCAGCCACAGATGAACGTGACAACGGGTATAAACGTGAACTCGAATGAATGGCTTTTAGGTAATCCAAACTTATTGGGATTCTTTCGCACAAATTATGATGCACGAAATTGGAAGATGATCATTGAACAGCTCAAGACTGATCACGAGAAATTCACCGTTATTGAGAGAGCAGGTCTTGTCGATGATGCATTTAATTTGGCTCGAGCAAGTAAAAATTTAAGTATAATGCGACTGAATGAATAGTTATTTTCTGCTTTTTATTTTTGATAGACATCTTACAAACAACACTTGTATTCGATCTACTCAGTTATGTTCATTCCGAATCTGCATATATAGTTTGGGAACGTATTATTGCCGGTCTTTCCTACGTCGAGCAAATGATTGCATCGAAAAATTTGGATATCATGCTATACGAACAATTTCAATCTTATATGATCGACCTTATCTTTCCCATCTACACTCAACTTGGCTGGCAACAACAATCATCAAATACTACTGAAAAATGGCTCGATGCACTTCATCGAGATTTGATTGTATCGGCAGCGTGTCGCTACAATTTAGATGATTGTGTTCAACGTGCTCGATTGCTCTTCGAACAATGGTTCAATCAACCTTCGAATAATACGATCAAACCCAATCATCGCTCTGTCGTCTATTGTACAGTTGTTCGTTTAGGCAGTCGAGCCGAATTTCAATTTCTCCTTCGCCAATACCAAGAATCGAGCGATTCACAAGAAAAAGCCAGAATACAGTCGGCATTAGCATGTACACGTGACTTAGAACTCATTCGATATTTGTTCCAAATTCATATCAATTCTCAATTGAATATTATTCGACGGCAAGATGCTCTCACCGGCATACGAGCAATCTGTCGAAACTTCGTTGCAGAAACCGAATGTTGGGTATTTGTACGTTCTGCATGGCGGCAGTTGTTTAAAGAATTTGGTGAATCAATCAGTTTTGCTGATGTCATCAAAGACGTTACAGCACGATTCAATACCGAACAACAATTAGACGAATTTGAACGGTTCTTCGAACAGATAACAGATGCGGTGAGTTCACGATCAGTTTTGTTTTGCATTTAGAAGTGTCTATCGATTCATGTAGAATGCTGTCGAATTTCAAGCGACAATCGAACGTATTCGTGCCAATATTCAATGGATTGAAAAGGTAAAACCCAATTTAGCCGAATGGTTTATGAATCGAACAGTTGCAATTCGTCTTCCATTCGATTGGATTCCATCTCAATATGTACTTCATTTTGACATACGTCTCCGCACGACTTATCCAAACAATGCTGATCCGGACATGGACACACTTTTTATGGGTCATACCCGTATTATTGTTCGTTGTAATAGATCGACCAATGAATTTCGAATTCATATGAAACAATTACAAATGTCTTATGCGACGTTGAAACATCGCGATACATCAAACAATTTAATCATCGATTGGACATGGATATCACAGTCAGAAATAATCATCTGTCGATTGAGAGAACGATGTGTAACCAACGAATACTATGTGTTTGAAGCAGAGTATACCGCCAAACTGAGTCGAGATATGGCCGGATTCTATTTAAGTCGATACAATATTTCAAATGCAAGTGCAGGTGATATCATTACGCACAATATTGCAGCCACTCACCTGCAGGTAATGAAGAAGGCGAAAATATCTCTATTTCCATGTTCCTATCTCATTTTGTTTCTAGCCGACCATAGCTCGGACAGTATTTCCATGTTTTGATGAGCCAGCATTCAAAGCCAAATTTAATATCTCGATTACTCATGATCCCAGCTTTACTGTCGTTCGATCGAATGGTGCTATGTTCCATGGAAGTCAACCAATACAACAGCCCGATGGTCGCTTGCTATCTCGTTTCGAAGAAACACCACCCATGTCAACATATCTTATTGCATTTGTTCTGACGGACTTCGAATGTGTTACGAGTGTGACATCGGCAAATATTGAAGTCAATGTCTGCGGACGGCCCGAAGCAATCCGTAATGCTGAAGGCAATTTTGCTCTTGAAGTGAGCACAAAAGTAATACCCTACTATGAACAGTCATACAACATGTCATATCCACTCAGCAAATGTGACCACTTTGCTTTACCTGACTTTGCTATTGGTAAGCATTCAATTTTGTGACCAATTATTTCTTGTTTACATCTCTCCTTCTACACATAGGTGGTATGGAAAATTGGGGTCTAATCACGTATCGTGAGACGGCTCTTCTCTACAATAATGTAACTGGTAGTCTGGGGGATAAACGACGAGTAGGCGAAGTTGTAGCGCACGAGTTAGCTCATCAATGGTTCGGCGATATTGTCACTCCTCAATGGTGGAATGATCTTTGGTAAATGAAAGATTCATATATCTAATATGACATTTTTTTTTCTTTCACTATTTCTACGAAGGTTGAACGAAGGTTTTGCTTCATGGGTCGAAGTGCTCGGCCTTAATCATTCAAATCCAGAATTTCAGTCTTTCGATACATTTGTCACCGGTAAGGAAGTATTTAATAAATCCTTTTCAATGAAAAGTCAAGAATATTCGTTATTGATTCTCTTCTATCTTCTAGTGGTCGTTCATCGAGCTCTGGTCATGGATAGTCTCTATTCGAGTCATCCAATTAGTGTTCAAGTCACTCATCCAGACGAAATCAATTCAATATTTGATGCCATTTCATGTAAACTTCATTGATTAATCTCTCTCTTGTTTTATCACGTGATTGTTATCTTTTATGTACTTTAGATGACAAAGGTTCGTCTGTTCTTCGCATGATCTACACTGTTCTCAATGAATCGACTTTCTTTCGTGGAATCAGCAACTATTTGAACCATTTCCAATATGGGAATGCTGTGCAAGATCAACTCTGGACCTTCCTAACCGATTCCGCCAGTGCATCAGTGCTTGCCAATCAGACGGTCAAAACAATCATGGATACATGGACTCTTCAAGAAGGATATCCTCTACTCATTGTCGCACGTAACAATGTCGACGGTTCTATTTCACTCTCGCAAAAACGCTATTTACTCGATCCTTACGCATTAAATCAAACATCAGTCTATGTGAATCCATTTACATCCTTTCCATTTCAATGGTACATTCCTTTTAATTATATGACTTCGGTGGGTTTGTCATCATTTGATTGGCTCGCTCCAAATCAGACCCGTATTCTTTCTAATAGTGTACCCGCTACTGACTGGATTGTGTTCAATGTCGACGAATTTGGATTCTATCGTGTCAATTATGATGAATTCAACTGGTTATTGCTTATTAATGCACTGAAAACTGATCGTACTTCTTTCTCAAGTGTCACACGTGCACAACTCATCGACGATGTATTCAATTTGGCCCGATCAGGTGATTTAAATGTCACCTTTGCATTAGAACTCTCGCTCTATTTGATCAATGAAACCGACTACATACCCTATTCCACATTTTTAATCAATGTTCAATATCCATTGTTAATGTTTAGTCAAGATGATGAAAGCCCCGCGTACCAAAATATACAAAAGTTCATACAAACTCTCGAAAAAGCAAGATATGATGCATCTAGCTGGTCGATTGATACAGATCCACAATCATTAGACTATTTCACTCGTCAATTGCGTGCTCTCATTATCAGAGATCTTTGTGCCAATGGATATGATACATGTATCAATGATGCGGTTGAACATTATCGTCGATGGCGTAGAGATCCATATACTCATCCGATTGCTCCTGACATTCGAACCGTTGCTTATTGTCAAGGAATCAAAAATGGCACAGGTGATGATTATGAACACATGCTAGAACTATATAAACAAACCAACGATCAAGTCGAAAAAAATCGTTTTGGCTATGCCTTGACATGCACACAGAATATCATTCTTCTCGAACAATTGCTCAATACGACGTTGGCCAATGATTATATTCGCCTTCAAGATGCATCGAGATTCATCAACAATATTCGTCTACAACCCGGTGGGCAAAAGCTTGCTTGGCGTTTCATTAGCCAACAATGGGCAGAACTCGTTGCCAAATTTGGGAGTGTAAGCTTCACTCTATCAGACATTGTCGAAAATGTCCTCGAATATGTGAATACCCAACAAGAGTTGGAGACCGTTCAACAATTCATGGCAAACACGGCTGATCTATCGACAGCCGAGCGAGCTTTTCTGTCATCTATCGAAAAGATTCGAGCTAATATTCGATGGATGGATACCACTGGGCGAGATACCGGTGCATGGCTCGATGACTATGTTGAAACAGATTCGAAAAATTCAAAATCAGCAACAAAATTGTGATTGTATTCATAGATTTGTGCAAAGAAAACTGTTCAATTAACAGAATAAAAGAGGAACTTTTACTCTAATCCCCAAAAAGTTCAAGTTTTATTTGAACACATCAATTTCGACTGACAACATAAGCACGATGAACAACGAGAATCTTTGTCTGCTTTACTATCACTTTTCTACTTGTAGATGCGCGAGTTTTTGTGTATGACTTTAGTTCAGTCGTTCAATGAAACTCGAATATCATTGCGGTTCTTTTCTCCTATCAATAATCGACTGCTATTGGTGTTGGCACATGTGAAGAAGTTTTCTATTGACTCTTTCCAAAACAGGTACTTAGCTACGGGCTAAAAGAAGATTTGCCAAAATTAATTTAGCTTTCCCGCAGTTTAAGAAATAAAATGATAGAAAAGTTAAATCTCATAATTATCCCTATGTAGCTCGAGAAAAATGAGTTTTCATCTCTTCAAGGAAACAAAATTCAATTTAAAATATATTTAAACTATACCATTGGATAGAGCATCAAAAGCACTATAGACTGTGTATATTTCAAGAAGAGACTTTGAGGCTTTCGGTATTTTTTTTCTGAAAACCATGCCGAAAACTTCTGTTTTCGTGAGAAAGTCTTCGGATTTCACATAAGAAATCCACATTACTTCTTTTTCAAGGACACCAATCTTGCTCCATCTTACCTTCAAAGACACTCATATGCTGACCAATGAATCTACCTATGAATCCTTATTCTGAATATTCTTACTGCAAATTTCATTTTCCTTACTAGATTACAGTTCCCACCTCTTCTGCTTTAAGAAGAAAAATTCTACTTTTTAATAATACTGCATAATTTATAGTCTTAGTCAAACTTTTTCCTCTTGAAGATCGTATCAAAAACTACTGATGCTTGTGGTCTATTCTAATTCTTTCTATCGGATATAAATGATTTTTATTTTCTACTGACTTCATACAAGGGTGTGGGTGTGGGAGAATAGAAGATACAGTCACACCCACACCCACACCCACACCCACACCCACACCCACACCCACACCCACACCCACACCCACACCCACACCCACACCCTTATGATTTACTAATCGAATTTTGAATATTTTGAAGATGCTAAATTTTCTAACTCTAAGAATTTCGGTTTTATGTCCTAGGTCTAGTCGGACGTAGAATATCATTTGGTTATTTGCAAAAAGCTGAAAATTCATTGTTGAATTCATATGGATATTCCTGGAATATCCTTCCAGAATTCATATAGGCATTCCCTTTTTCCATATCAAGTTTATTTTTTAGCGAAAGGTTCTCTTTTTTCAAAAAAAATGACAGACTCTATTTGCTGCCCGATTTCACTCAACTTTTCGGAAGACATTCGTCTAGAATAGGATAGGATCGATTATGAGTGAAATATATTCACCAAAATTTCAATAAAGTATCAGGTTATAGTCAATATATTCCTAAAAAAACAGTACTCTGTATATGGGAAAGGCTTTCACAATAACGATACGAGTTAACGATTCTCGTAGGCTTCTAGGTTGCAAAGTGTCCATAAAGCCGAATTGTGATAGAGGCTTTGTTTTTGCATTTTCCTTTCTTTGCTTTCTAAAATTTCTTTAGGCGGTGATTAAAAGGAAAGTCACTGATCACAATAAAAGTTTAAGAATCCGACACCTTGATAATTTAGTCATCTTTGTTTACTTTGCAATAAAAACATATGACTTGTATATTGAGTTACTATAAAGGAAAGTCTGTCAGCGTGAGCGACATTCCCGACAAAACTAATTTTGCGAAAAGAATTAATGAATTTTAGAAGTGAGGTTTTTTGAAAACATAATTTCTGAGTGACTAGTACTGAGAAAAAATTGCGAAATACTGATGTAGAGAAAAAAGAGTCTAAAAAGACTGCGAATTTGTAAAAAAAAGGTTTGATATTTTGTCGAGAAATATGTTAATAGAACGCAAGTTTTAGATAATAAGATCGTGAAAAGCAATCAGTTTTTCGAAAAACCTCACACATGCTGAAAGAGAAGACTTTGGTGTATTTCTCCACGATTAAACTTTAATTTAAACTTGTCTTTGAAAAATTGAATTTTCTAAGGAAGGTGGAAAAAGACAAAGGTAGAGAAATTCTTAGTGAAACCTTCAAATCACGTCATCATCATCATCATCATCATGTCCCATAGGCTTAGCGCCCGTTGGGGCTAACCATTTACGAGATCAGATTTTTCCACGCCTGTCGGTCTTGCGCAAGATGAAACAGATCTTGTCCACTGCGTTGACACCATTCGGTTATATCATCCAGCCACTCTCTGCATGGACGCCCCCGTCTAGATTTTCCATCCATTTTAGCAAAAACAACGTG